GTCTCACTGCTGTTTTGTTTTATTTTTATTGCCGGTGTCTGCCGAGCTGGGATGCATTTAATGATGGTCCAAAGCAGTTTGTTGATTGAATCAGAAAATGCAAATACCACACCTTCCTGCCCTGTTTTCATTCACACAGATCCTATTCATTTCAATGCATGTTTGCATAAGGGAACTTCCTAAAAGATTGTACTCTGTCAGTCAGTTCTGTGTACAGTTTGGTGTAGTGGTTACGTGTGTGGACTCTAATCTGGGAGAACCGGATTTGATTCCCCACTCCTCCACTTGCACGTGCTGATGTGACCTTGGGTCAGTCACAAGCTCTGGCACAGCTGTCCTTGAAAAAGAGCAGTTTGTGTCAGAGTTCTCTCAGCCCCACCCACCTCACAGGGTGTCTGTTGTGGGGAGGGGAAGGGAAAGGAGTTTGTAAGCCGCTCTGAGACTCCGAGTGAAGGGCAGGGTATAAATGAATCTCTTCTCTTCTTCTTCTCTTCTTATTGTGCCACACATGCAAACCAATCTACATAAGACTACAACCTTTATAGCACCTAGATGCACAGCCTAAATGAGCGGCTTTACCTTGCTTTGTAGTTGAACCAACTACAAAGGGAATACAGGGAAATTAGTACCCCGGCAGCTTTGCAGTCATTCTCTCTTAGGCATTTCACAAACAAAGCTAAAAACATGCTTTAAAGTGTGATCCTAAATACAGTGACACCCTTCTACTTCTTTGGGACCTAGAAACGTGCAACTCTGCTTAGGACTGTGCTGTCAGTCTCTCATATACACCTTGTGAATGTTGCTAAAGGATGATATACTGCAGAAGAGAGCTACTTTCAAATGTGATGCAAAATTCCAGTCCAACAGATCCTTCAGTTGAATTAGACCAATGGGAAAAGAGAAAATGGACAAGTCTCAGCTGGTGGAAACAGCCTTCAACAGTTAAGGAAGAACAATTTGTTTTAGTATTCTGCTTGCATACTGCATCTTCTTCTTCAAGTTCAGTATTTTTCAAATAGGGCTTCTACAAACACTTGGGTTCCTCAGACCTGAAGGGGAGGCTTCTTGAATGAGGTCAGTAATGGCTGACAAGATGTCTTGAATGACATCACCGTTGCTTGACCATTACACCTTTGCAGTTTGGCTTCACAGGAGAGATGCTAGGTACACTCTCAGTTTGGGTAGACCGGGGATCCCCAACAAGGCACCAAAGGGCACCACAGTGCCCACCAACAACTTCCCTGGTGAACATAAGAACAGCCTTGATAGATCAGATCAGTGCTCCACCTATTCCATCATCCTGTCTCACAGTGGCCAACTAGTTCACACTACCTCCTGGCTCTGGGATTCAGAGGATAAATGCCTCTGAACGTGGAGGTTCCCCTCAGTCCCCACGGCTAGTAGCCCCTGACAGACTTATCCTCCACGAATCTATCTAATTCCCTTTTAAAGCTGTCTATTCCTGGACCCTCATGACATCCTTCGGCAGCAAATTCCACATTTTAACCACTCACCATGTAAAGTAATATTTCCTTTTGACCTTCTTGAACCTACTGCCCATCAGCTTCATTGGATGCCCTCAAGTTCTAGTCTTTTGGGTGGAGGGAGAAAAAGTTCCCTTTGTCCACTCTCTCCACCCCATGCATAATTTTATAAGCCCTCTATATCAACTCCCTCTGCCTCATGCATAATTTTATAAACCCTCTATCATGTCAACTTGATGGCACTTTCCAGCACCACCATATGGTACAGTAAGAGAGGAGATCAATAGAGCCAGAATGGTACCGTGCCTGCAACAAGACAGACCCAAGGTCAACTACAGCTAACCACAGAATCACTTTGTTACATCATCAATGATCTACAGCTTCTCCCGGATAAGGACGTTTGGGGACAGCTGGTCTCTCCCCGCTTACAGACAGCCCCCTTCCCAACTTAAAACCGCTTCTCGCCAACAACAAGGGACAACCAAAGAGAGAGAAAAGGCCAGGAAATCAAACCCTGCAACAGACCTAGATGCTAGCTTGGTCCTCACATACACAAAGGTTAATGCTATCATGGCACCCAATAACAGCAACTACACCAACACTGGGCTCATCCACATGCATATCGTCCAGGTTAGCATTTGCCATCATGTGCTAGCAATGCCCTTCCACTATCTACACCGGAAAAATATGCCCGTCCCGACATGAAAAAAAATCGATCAACACAAATCTGACACAAGTAATCCCAACAATCAAAAATCAATGGGGGAACATCTTCCTGGAGGTATCAATGCAGATCTGACAGTCACTGTTGTACAGAAAACTTCAAAGGGAATATACAATGAGAAACTGGTAAATTAGAACCCACCAAGGCACTGAACACCTTTTGTCACCCTGGCTTAAACAGAGACTCAGATTTCCTTACTTGCTATAATTTCTGATAGTGCAAAAGGATCAACTTCTTAGAAGCTTCAAGTGGCTGATTTCAACAAGCTGTATCCTATTACAGCTTTCTATTGCAGGGTCGACTGCTCTGGGTTAGGAAATTCCAGGAGATTCTGGGGGTAAAATATCTGGGGAGGGCAGGGTTTGGGGACATCTCTGAGAGATATAATACTATCAAACCCACCTTCCAAAGCACCCATTTTCACCAGGGGAACTGATCTCTGTAACCAGAAGACCAGCTGTAATTCTGACACTAGACCCACAACCCTAGATGTTAGTTAATTTTCTTATACTTTTGGACCATTTCTTCCTGGATTAGTTGTTCTTTGGCTGCGGTCACACGGAGCATTAGGCACGCTAGAGAGACGGAAGATAGGCGGATTTTCCGGGCGCCATCTCACCGCCACATCTGGGAAGCGTAGAGCTCCCGTGGCTCACCCGAGGCTTCATTCCGAAGATGCGCTGTAAAAAACTAGTACCTCCGAGGTACTAGTTTCCGAAAACCGCGGGGCATGAGCGGGCGTCTGATCACATTTCCGGTGGTAGTTCCGGCGCCCACCCATGTCCCCTCGCAAAAAGGGTTTTTTCCCAAGTCTCCACAGATGCGCACAAGCACCCAATGGAGCATGCGCACACTTTAGTTTTTAAAAAACCACAACCCCATTTGCCCCGCGGCCCCGCTTCTTTGCAGAGCCGCAGGATTGTCCAGCACCTCCCCCCTAACCCCAGGACCTCCACGGAACGTCTGCTCGTGCAACTGCACATTATTTTGCCCCGGGGCAAACAGCCACACTTCCCCCCCCCCCCGCATTTTCCAGCCCGTATGACCGGGGCCTTTATTCTGCTTAGTTACACTTTAGTTTATCTGCAACCCAATAGCAAAGAGGCTGGAACCTCTGACCTCTCTCGTCCTCTGTTATACAAAACAACATACTTCATTCCTGTCTATTACAAAAAGAACCACACCAGATTTAGGACAGGATTTACACCAGGGTTCCAGGTCCAGCCTGGTAATCAAGAGGAGACTGGGGGGGAGACAGGTAATCATTGGCAATAATGTGACATCACTTCTGGGAAAAATGCCAGAAGTGACGCCACGCCTCCCTAGGAATCATTGGACACTCTATGGTTAAACCAGTTTGCCCCAGAAGCGACATCACACCACAGGCAATCATGGGCCATTTTTTTTCTTTCACTCCCACTCTGGGTGGCAGCAGGAAACAAAAATAGGGGTCAGAAGGGGACTGGTGCCCTAATTTACATCAACCCTCTCTCTCCCACAACTCCACCCTTTCCATCCCCTCCCATTCTGCAATTTTACTTACAAATGGTGCAAAATATTTTCCTTCCAATTTGCATCTGAAGAAGTGAGCCCTGACTCATGAAAGCTCATGCTTGGAAAAAAATGTTGTTAGTCTTTAAGGTGCCACTGGACTCCTGTTTCATTTAGCTTCAATAGACTAACACACCTACCCCCTATAGCCTCAAATTTAAACCCTTGCTCAATTTCTTGGCCTTTGATTAATTTCATAGCGTGTTTTTATATGCACCTCTACTAGACTAAAACTGGACGCGCCCTCTCAGCTTAGACCTGCAAATGTAAGCAAATAAGAGATGGGATGTATTTACTTACTCGTTTGCCTCATTTATACCCTGCCTTTCTCCCTAACAGGGACCTAAACTAGCTTACCTCATTCTCCTTGCCTCCATTTTATCCTCACCACAACCAAGTGAGGTAGGTGCGGCCAAAAGTGCATGACTGGGCCAAGGTCAACCAGGATGCGACACAGTAGAGTGGGGATTCAAACATAGGCCTCCCAGATCTTGACCCCCTGTTACAGATATACGGTTGCCAGGTCCTTCCTGGCTACTGTTGGAGGGAGGGTAGAGTTGCCAGCTCCAGGTTGGGAAACTCCTGGAGATTTGGGGGCAGAGTCTGGGGAGGACAGGGACCTCAGTGGGGTACCATGCCACAGAGTCCTCCCTCCAAAACATCCATTCTCTCCAGTGGAACCAATCTCTGTAATCTGGAGATGAGTTTGTAATTCTGGAAGATCCTCAGGTCCCACCTGGAGGCTGGCATCCATACAAAAGCAAAAAGGGGCCTCTGCTTGAACATGGGCAGAGCGCACTTCCATACTAGGATTGCCAACTTCCAGGAGGTGGCCGAAGATCTCCTGGGATTACAACTGATTTCCAGGTGACAAGGGTTAAATTCTCCTGGAGAAAGGCGGCTTTGGAAGGTGACACTATGGCATAGTACCCCAGGGAAGTCCCTCCCCTCCCCAAACCCCCCCCCCCCAAGGCCCCCCCCCCCCCCCCCCCCCAAATCTCCAGGTATTTCCCAACCCAGAGCTGGCAACATTGTTCCACACTCACAACCTGACTTCATCGCTCAGGGATCAGGGGAAGCACCTTTTAGGGTGATGCAGCTTCTAGACATACATAAACCAGCCACCGCTTATTTGTTCTTTAAGGAAAACGACTACAAATGGGAGGTGGGGGGCTGCTGGTTTGCTTTGCTCCCAGTCCCCACCCCACACCTCGCAGAAACACCACCTTTGCAGCACTTACAGCGTGTGCCCGCAGACGTTGACCATCAGCTTGAGGGAGGGATTCCTGTACTTGGTGGTCTTGCAGCGGGGGCAGCCCTGGTCGTCCATGGTGGGTTCCCAACTCCAGCGGGAGGCGCTTCCCTCCGCCTCCTCCCCCACGGCTTGTTTTCAGCCGCTCCGCTTTGCTCCGCTGAGAAGATTCCCCCCCATGAAAGCCGCGTCCGCCAGAAAACACCGCCCGGGCGGATCGTCAGCTGCGAAACAAGAGTTCCGGATGGAGATTTCTCGTGCAACCCCGTGGCATTAACACGGCATTCGTGTGCCTTTTGGGGAAAGGGAAGGCAAGCTCGGAAAGGGAGCGGAGGAGCTGTCAGTTAAGAGTCCTTGAGCCCTGATGAGAGTGCGGTGGGGGGGGGGGGGGGGGGGCAGTTAGACCCGCACCGATTGGGGCTGGCAAACCGTAAAGAAATAGAGCAAGCTGCGTTGTTGGGTTGCTAAACCTAATATTTTCTCAGTACAAAGTTTGAGTCCAGTGGCACCTTTAAGACCAACAACGTTTGATTTTCTGTGTGTAAGCTTTCGTGTGCATGCACACACTCCGTTAGATATCTGCTGAAGTGCGCGTGCACACGAAAGCTTATACCCAGAATTAAACTTTTTTGGTCTTAAAGGTGCCACTGGACTCAAAACCTTGCCCCGTTGCTTCAGACCACCTCGGCTACCCACCTGAATCTGACTTTTTTTTTTTGTTCTTTTAAGACCAGCCGTTATCTCCGACTCCGCGCTCCTCTCCTGTGCAAAAATAAAGCCCGTGGGTTTCAATAGTATTTACACCCACGTAGGAGCAAAGCTGCCAGAACCATCACGGCCCCCGCGTGACTACGGTTGCCAACTCCAGGTTCGGAAATACCTGGAGATTTTAGGGTGGAGCCTGGAAGGATTGGGGGGGGGGGACCCTTAACAGGGAATCATTCTGTACAGTCCATCTCCCAGAACAGTAAAAGCAAAAAAAGGACTTGTTTCCCGACTGACTACTTCTAACAACTATGACAAATCGATCTCATTTTAAAGACCCCTCCTATTCAAGGGGAAGCTTGCCGCCACTGGGGGCCTATAGGGCAAAACAGGCTCAGCCGCCCAACCCAACAAGAGGACATTTTTATCAGTTTTGTTTTAACCAAAAGAGGATGGACACCAAAAGAAAGAGGACAGTTTGGTGTAGTGGTTAAGTGTTTAAAAGGGAGAACCGGGTTTGACTCCCCACTTCTCCACATGCAGTTGCTGGATGACCTTGGGCAAGCCATAGTTCTGTCAGAGGTGCTCTTGAAAAGAGCAGTTTCTGTCAGAGCTCTCTCAGCCCCTGTTGGGTATTACAAGTTGAAAACACTCAGTATATCTGGGGTTAAATGTTTACCTGAGGGACCGCCTTTCCCCATACAGGCCCCAAAGAGCACTTCGGTTGGGGTCACAACACTATTAACCCCGGGCCCTAAAGAGGCCAGGCTTGCTGCCACAAGGGCCAGGTCCTTTTCGGTGGCGGCTCCTATCTGGTGGAATGAGCTCCCGGAGGAGATCAGGGCCTTTCGGGACTTGTTGCAGTTCCGCAGGGCTCTTCCACCAGGCTTTCAAATAGGAGCCGCCGCCACCACCAATGGGTGACTGCAAAGCAGTACTGCTGTGTTAGGCTGACTGGCCACCGAACATCGGGGCCATAGCATCCCCCTCTTTGACTCAATGTGATGTGCAATAGGGAGTGAGTATGTTAGTCGTGATGCATCCTTGGGAGTTGCCCACTGCGCTTAACTGTGTTTAAATTGTGTTAACTGTATTTTATCGCACTGTGTGCCTTAATTGTTTTAACTGTGGTGTTGTATTACACCTGTGTTTTGTAAGCCGCCCTGAGCCCGCGTGCGGGGAGGGCGGGATATAAATGCAATAAAATAAAATAAATAAATAAATAAATAAATGTTACTCACAGGAAGTCACATGTTTTTCACATAACCAATGTTCTTTAGCTGTAGAATTTTCTCCCTGATCTAGGAATTTGATTGGGACTAAAGTGTCAAGGTGTATTAGCATTTTATGGCTCTCTTCCCGTCTTTGTTTGGTGTTCTGAAGAAGAAGAAGAGCAGCCATAATCTCTCTTCTAGTTTTGTCTTCGTAGAGTAAGGATGTAGCCGATTATGCTCTGTTGTTATTTTCATCCCAGTTACCCTTCCCATGCTAGAATTTAGTAAAAACTTTATATTTTAATCACACATGGACTCTGAGTCTGAATTATTTTACTCCAGCACTGCTGGACCATCTTATCTCTGCTAAATACCATTTTTTCAATATCTCACTATCACCCAACAGAAAAGAGCAGTTTCTGTCAGAGCTCTCTCAACCCCAGGGCCGGCCCCAGCTTATTCTGCACCCTAGGCCAGGATCCCTTCTGGCGCCCCCCAATTTTCAAAAATAAATGCAGGCACAACGCGAACCAGCGGAGCTGGCTCCCCTTCCGATGCTGGGACCGTCTTGCCCCAGGCCAGAAGAGTGAATGGGAGGGAGGGAGGGAGGCAAGCCGGAGGGGAGGAGAAGAGAAGGGGGTGAGGGAAGGCGCGACCCGCATCGGAACACAAATCTGCGCCCTTAAAGATACGGAAGTGGCGGGTGTGGAATTCTCGGGTGAGCAAGGAAAGGACTTGAAGCGGGCTCATGGTGGAGGGTGTCTCCCCAAAGGGCCCTGCCTGGCTAACCCAGAAAGAGCAGCTACGACCACACTGGGAACTTTGCCAAAGGGAAAACGGGGGGTTGGCTCGGCAAAGAACTGCATTCATCCCCACCGGGGGACATTGGAGGGGCGTTCCTTCGGCGGCATCCCTTCCCCCCCTCCCGCCAATCCCCAAAGAAGGCTTAGGGAAGGCACCCTTTAAAGCCTCACGGCTCGCAGCATCTTGCGCCCAGCAGGGAAATGGCTCCAGAAGGCCCGGGAAGCAGCTCTTTAAAGAGTACCAGCTGCGGCGCCTCATGCCCCGCAGGAAAATGGCAGCGAAAATAGCCACGAAAAGTTTTCCCGCCTCCCCCAGGCCCCAGAATGTGCCCCTGACCTCCTAATGGCCAAATGCGCTCCTCGCGTCTGATCTCCGAGCGGCTTCACCGCTTGGAGATCAGACGCAAGGAGTACTTTTGGCTCCAGAAGGCCTGGGTGTGGTGTATTCAATCTGACCAAAGTATGTATGTGAACTCTGTCATTGAAACACCATGTGAAGTTTTCATCCTGGGCTAGGATCCTAATCCCTCACTTGTAATTGGTAGCCCAGGAAGAACCGACCAACCACCAACAGCCAGTTCCAAGAGCGGGAACTATTGTGATTGGACTTTATCCCTGCAACCTCATAGGTTGGTATTTGTATAGTAGGCGTGGCTACATTAGCCGGGAGAGTTTAAAAGTGGAACAGATTCAATGTAAAAGCTGTTCTGGCTATCAGATGTTGATCCGTGTTGGAGTTGTGTTTGAGTTGATGAATAAAGCTGGATCTTTGCTGAATCACTCTCCGACTGCTTTGTTAAGCGAGCGACTTAACACCGGGAAGCAGCTCTTTAAAGAGTACTGGCCGCGGCGCCTTGCGCCCCGTGGGAAAATGGCCGCGAAAAGTTCCCCTGCCTCCCCCAGGCCGCGGAATGTGCCCCTAATGGCCAACTGCACTCCTTGTGTCTGATCAGGGGGGAAAGCTAAGCAAACTAGTTGGCATAAGAACATAAGAGAAGCTAATGATGGAGCAGGCCAGTGGCCCATCCAGTCCAACACTCTATGTCACACAGTGGCCAAAAATACCAGGTGCCACCAGGAGGTCCACCAGTGGGGCCAGGACACTAGGAGCCCTCCCACTGACCAAGAATACAGAGCATCACTTGCCCCAGGCTGAGAGCTCCTATTTATACCTTGTGGCTAATAGCCACTGATGGACTTCTGCTCCATATGCATGTTCTTGACTCTCTCCCACTGAAATCAACGAGTCACGCACGTTTACTCGAGAGTAAATCCCTGTGTTCATTGGCGCCCCCCCTCCCAAAAAAATCCCCTTTAACAGGCCGACCGGACCCACGTTGAACTGCAAGTCAGTCCGCAACAATGTTCCCTCTAAGCTGTGGAGTCTTGTGAGCAAAAATTCTACTTTGTGAGCTACTGGCATTAAAATTGTGAGTGAGTGATTTGGCTGCTGCATAGATTAGCTTGCTCTGGAGCCATCCTTTCCTGAGCTAAAACAAAAATATGTGAGCCAGAGGCTAAAAAACTGTGAGCTAGCTCACACTAACTCAGCTTAGAGGGAACAGTGGTCCACAATGCCTTCAGAAGATCTCCCTCAAGAGTAAATGCATAGCTTCCCTTACAGCCGTTTGACTGCATGGCACCATTTGCATGCACAAGCCATTCCTGTGGGAAATGGCATTCCAAACTCTCCAGCCACATGTGAAAGCTGCACAGTCCTCGGATCCGAGGCGAGTTGGCCGCACTGAGGTTAACGGAGAGGCCAGTCACAAGCCACATAAGTGAGGGGGTTGAAACATTTCTTCCCCCAAAGGGAAGGAGCTCCTCGTGCCCCAGCAACAGAAGGGTTAAAAACAACAAAACCCTGATCCTGTTGATAGATTCAGGTGGGTCGCCGTGTTGGTCTGAAGCAACAGAACAAAGTTGGAGTCCAGCGACACCTTTAAGACCAAAAGAGTTCAGTTCTGGATATAAGCTTTGGTGTGCATGCACACTTCATCAGATACATGCAGGCGAAAGTTTATACCTAGAATTGATCTTTGTTGATCTTTCAAAGGTGCCGCTGGACTCAAACGTGGTGCATGCGCACGAAAGTTTATACCCGGGATTAAACTTTGTTGGTCTTCAAGTTGCCCCTGGACTCGAGTTTAGTGCATGCACACGAAAGCTTATACCCGGAATTAAACCTTGTCTGTCTTCAAGGTTGCTACTGGACTCTAACGTTGTTCTGATGCTGTTGAGTTAGCCGGGAGAGCTACGGCTATCGCGAGGCAAAAGGAGTCGTCGTGCTCAATGTTCCCGCGAAACTGTGGAGTCTTGTGAGCAAAAATTCTGCTTTGTGAGCAACTGGCATTAAAGTTGTGAGCGAGCGATTTGACTACTGCATAAATGAGTTTGCCCTGGAGCCATCCTTCTTCCTGAGCGAAGACAAAAAAGTATGAGCTGGAGGCTAAAAAAAACTGTGAGCTAGCTCACATTAACTCAGCTTAGAGGG